GCCCAATTTAGGAATCCAGAATAGGAAGTCTGCTTATGGCCCTGGCATGCTATGACCATTGCCTATTATGCTGTTCATAATTGTGTCATTGTTTCCGTATGGTTCTGTTTTATTACATCCATCTGCTGCTCCATATTTTATGTTTGAAGTGCAGGCTTTCTGTGCCACAAATTTGCTCAATGCTTAGCACATAGTACAAGCATGCCAACACCCCGATCCTGCACTTCCCCCACCGGTCCTGGTGGAAGCCCTTAACCAGTTGAATGAAGCAGTTAAGACAGTAGATCGTATGGAAAAATGTCTCATTACTCCTTAGAGCACCAGCATTCGAGGTGTTTGTCTGCTGGTGTCTGCTATTTAGTGTAGCAAAAATTCAGGATGTGGAGGGCAAATTAAGAGATTGATTCTTCAACCAGTTTTTTAAGCTGTAGACATCCATAGAGTATGTGGAGAAGAAAGGACAGTTTTCATGAAAGCTTTACATGTCATCTTTACATCTGCGACACAAGCCAGGCAAACCAAGGAACTGCATTGTTAACACACAGGCTCCTCTGCCACCCTCTTCTACTCCTGGTGGTTTCATGGCAGCTTTCGATGCCAATATGAAATGATCCCTCTGGGTTTCACAAAAGGCCATGCCTAGGCCAAGATTTTCAAGTGTTATAGTTTCTGACTGCTCAGCTTCAGGCAGGTCTGATTTTTTGGAGGGCACCTAGGGACTCAATGCTCTTTAAGCACTCCTTATTTGAGTCAACACACCAGCTTGGCTGTTGCTCAGGGACACACATTTTCATTCCTCCAAAGCCTCTTCCATGATCAGATTCATGGTTGCTTGTGTTTTTGTATTCCCATTCTCTGCTGTACATCCCTTCAGTTACAGAAACAAAGAAGGTGGTGAAGTAGAGCAAAGGTGAGGCTCTACATTTCTAGCTTGTTGCTGAAAAGCTCCAGAGTAATTTGTGAGAAGTTCTAGATGTGACATGTAATTCCTAGATAATTCTATGTTCAAAAGAAACGCCAGCTTGATCCTTTTAGTGTTCATGGATCCAAAGTTGAAAAGAGAAGTATTTAATATTAATTGTTCTTCCCACCTGAATTGTTCTACACAGCAGCTTGGAAAACTATTATTTATATGACATTTCAGTGGCTTTATATGTACTGGATTGATGATAATGGAATACGCTCACTTCTTCTGCAGGCTTGAGGTGAATAAATGGCTCCAGTCACAGTACCCACTACTACTTTCCTCAGCAGTTTGGTTTTACTTTATTCTACCAGCTATAACCAGTGCCTCTAATAAAGCAAGCATAAGCTGCTAAAAAATAACCCTGTATGGTTTCATGAGTCCGTGGGGAAAGAACGGGAGCAGTCACATGCTTCTCCAATACAGGCACTTGAACTTGCAGCAGCTGGTCCATGGATGCTGATGTTACTCAGTACTGATATGGCATTTTAAGTTTGCTTCAGCCTTAGAGAAATAGGACAGTCCTGGTTTCCACCTGAGGAGTTTATTATTTACAAGACGTACCCGGCACTGTTCTTTGGTGGTCTCACTGCAGATGACAAAGCAAGGAATGAAGTGCTTTGCCCAAAACTGTTTAAGTTTGTGGACAATCCAACTGCCCAAGTTCAGCCCAGCACCCAGCCACAAGGCCAGCCCTTCCCTTCCATGTCCCTGATGTACAGTGGCAACAAGCTGGAGAGCCTGGGGTGGTGATGAGGAAGATGTTATAAAGATACAAGGTACATGGGCAGATCTGGGGACTGGTCCTGCCTTAGCAGCCAAGAGGAACAGGCAGAGCTTGACTAGGAAAAGATCACTGGGAGAGGTTGTTTTGAGAGGTGATCTGCAAGGAATGGGCCAGGGCATTGTTCTGGGACATGGGGGATCAGCCCAGAAAGAAAAATGGTCACAAGACAGTACACGGAGCAACAAGAGCAGACCAGAGAGATGTTTTATATTTGAGAAGGCATATGTGTGTGTGAAACAGCAGGATATGAGTCATTTGGGGATGCCATCCCCGATGTGTACCTGTGTGAAATGGCAATTAGAAGCTGCTCCTCATGTATCCATTCCATAGCCCTGTGAGAAGCACATAGTTGTATCCTCTCTGACTGGACTGAGCTCAGCCCAAGCCTCCCTGGAGAGGAGGTAGGGAGTAGCCATGGAGTGAGATCAGTCTTTGAGAGACCTGTGGTGCCCATCACAGTGCCAAGAAGAAGCTGGTGAAGTCAAAAGTGGGGAGAGAGGGAGAGAGAGCGGGGAGCTGGTGCCACTGTGGTGGTGGTGGGGATTTACACCTGGAAGCACAAGGAGGATCTGTGAGGCAGCTGGAGGGTAGACAAGCTAGCAGCCTGCAGGAAGGAGCAAGGTAGGAAGAAAAAGGAAGAGAGTGCAGGGAGGAAAAAGGGAGGCCAAGCACAGAGCCTCTCAGTCCTATGGCAGCTGAAGAAGCCCCTCTTCATGCCAGGTCTGGGGAAATGTTGTATGCTGGAGTCAATCTGCATCTTTCCAGGCACTGCTCCTCCTTGGTGCTGCTAACACCCCTCTCTGCCATCTCCCCTTCTCCTGCAAACCTGCCCAGGAGGTCCCTTTGAGGGGCATATTGAGGGGATGGTAGTTAAAAGCTCACCGTCTCTTTCTGAACATCCTTGCAAAAGACAGCTCACAGTTTTTTCCTGCACTTCATTCCCACTCTCCAGATAAAGCATTTTTGAGATAATAAAATGAGCTCAACGTGATCCACCTAAGATCCATATATATTTGATACAACATACCAGCTGTAGTGATGACACTGAGAAGTCCACAACATGTTATGTAAGAAGATTTTCTCTTAAAGACATTGCAGTGAGTCAATGTAGTGGAAATCTAATGGCTTCACACAGCTGTTGTTTGCTTAAAATGGCTGGAGGGTCAAGTTCAGGCTTACTTTGTTCTACTAAATTACAGAACAAAGACTTGGCTGGTTGCTTAGTGAAATAATCTGTAATAGATACCATAGGACTGATTTTTTTGTGTATATATGGGCATTAGAAAAGTGGGGTGGAGACTAAACATGCCTTATCCTCAAAATCAAGTAGAATAGATTCTCACCAATCATATGGGAATCAGTGAAAAGCTGCAGACATGTTCACGAGATGGGAGATATCCTCAGCATTTTAAACAAGATGCAGAGGAGATGGCATTGATTATCTGTGATCCAAACCCGTTGATAGTGGATGAGTCAATGGATCAAATAATATTAAATCAGCTGCAACCAACAGAGCTGATCAAGATGCTCCAGAAATCTTTGAGGCAAAAGGAATATGTCCAAAGGACTGAAAACCGTTATGGTGTCAGCATTTTCCCTTCTTGTGGGAGTAACTGCCCTGTCTGATCTGTTAGCAAGTATCTTGTTACATTAAACACAAATATCACTGTTTATAATGTCTAAGTGCTTCATTAGTACCATAATATATTAAATGTAGAATTAAAGAAACAGTAAACTTCGAAAATATCAAGCAAGACATTCACTACAACCAAAATTAAATAGGACTGTCATCTTCACTACATCAATTAACTTTTCAATTCCATTGCTGACTTAGTTGTGCCTCCTTCATCTGTTACTTCAGTTAAACTACTTAAAACTGTATATAAGGACTGAAGCTTCCTACATGCATGTAGAAGCTTCTTAGTGTATGTAGCAACAATTGATCAATAAAAAAAATCCCACTTAAACACCACTTTACTCCTCGGGTCTGCTGGGTAAGCCAGACATAGACAGAAAGTTTCCACAAAAGATTTAGTTTTTACTGGTTTGAAAGAAATGTCTTTCTATTACCTTCAGATAGCACAGTCTGTACTACTCCAGTGAAAGATGTCACACAGCCTCAGCAAATACTGAAGTCATTCTGAAACAGCAATGAAGCCAAAAGCTGGAAGAAATTCAAGTGTCATGTCTTTACCACCTCCTTCCCTCTCTCAAAGTCAATGAATATGGCCCTTCATTTAAGAATGAGAGAGATTCACAGCTAACTCAATAGTCCTGTCACAGCTGTAGATTTTTTTTCTTTTCGTTATCTAATTACTAGGGAAATGGTTTTCCTTAAACTTTGCATGAGCAGTGAATCATTTGGCCATTGTGAAAAAAAATATCACTGTAGTAGATCATTAGTCTCATTATTTTCTGGGGTCAAAACTTCTCATATCCTGTAGCTGAGCCTTATTTCCAAGCCATCCATTGTAGTAATCAACCTTCTTGTTGTTCCCGATCTACTCTGTGATAACATCTGTGTGTTTAAAGGTTTGATTTCTCCTCTAGAGCCTCCTACTCCTTCTCTCCGTCATTTATAGTTGATGTAGTACCCTGCAGGCTCCTTAATTGCTTGATATCAAGTCCCTTGTGCCCAGACACCTTGTGTTTATGCTTGTACTCGTGGTGCTTGAAGGACAGGACTTCCATGGTGTCATGTTCTCCTCAAGGAAAAGAAATCTTTCCTAATTTTAGGCACTGAAAAAATTTAGTCTTCGTCCTTCTCCACAGGGAAGTTTCTTCCTGGTGCACCAAGTCAAACTGTGAGTAATTCATCCTACCCCTAGTTTAATTGTGCCATTTACCCATGCTCTGATAAATGTGTATATATGTATATATATGTATATCTGTATATATACCCTCATATACAGGGCACATAGGAGGGGATGACTGTTGGATCCTCAAAAATAAAGTCTTGGTTTTCTTGTAGTTGGCATAGGAGTAGTTGTTACAAAAATGCTATAACATTCTTAGAAGTCTCAGCAGACATCTGAGATAACTCCTGTTGCCTCTTCTGTGCCTAAAATGGAAAAAGATTAATCCAGATCTAAGCCTGTGTCTCCTGTGAGCCTTCACTGAAGTCTGCTTTACAAATCTTTACTGAAACACAGAAAAAAACACAACCAAATGAAATGTGGTGCATTGGTTAAGTAGAGAAACATGTTGAAAACAAATGAAACCATCTGAAAAGTGAGTTGAACAATTATTTCCATTCTGCTTTTCTAAAAATCACTGTGTACAGTAGGATAGCATCTTGAATAGTTAAGTGCCCCTCAAATACAACACACAGGCAAAACAAGACCAGTCCTTCAATATTAAAAGCATTCCTGCTGTGTCACATCATGGCGCCTGCACGAGCTGAATTCAAGACTTTTTATTGTCAAGAGGCACTACCATTACACTACATTTTAATATGGATCTTTGCCAACAATCATAAATAAAACACGCACTCATAAACAATTCCTAAACGCAGTGTGTCAGACGGTATTTCATTAAAAAAAACCTTGCTGCAATGTAGTGGAATACTATAGGCCATGGCTGGTTGGGGTTTTCTTTCCCCTTGGTATGCTTAGGTGATTTGTTGGTTTCAAAAGGCTTTTTAGTTAATGTATGCCGTGCCTATCAGAAGATCCTTCATGCTAATGAATGAGAAATTCACAGCTAAAAGGCAGAGAGAATCAGTGCCATTTTCAAGAGCTGTCTGACGTGGGAAACCTGCAAAAGCTGTCAGCAGAAGATAGAAAAACCTGTAAATGAGTTACAGAATGGTGACAACAAAAAATTAACCCGTGGTAAAATGAAAACTGTAAATATGCAAGTGAAAACGTATTCAAATGTACTGATCCCTGTTATGCAAATTCTGAAATTTTCATGAAACAGAAAATGCCACTTGACACTAGATACAGTCTGTTGCATAGATTAAATAACCCGACAGCCTTTCTCAAACTCAGCAAGAAGCATGTGAAATAAAAGACGAATGTCTTTCTGTTTACTAGAGTGCTGTGGTGGTCATAGCAATGGAGTTTTAAAAGACTTTAATTTTTAAAGTAACCTTTTGCTTTTCCTGCTCTCTGGACTACTGCTGTGTTCCTAGCCATCAGCAGCTCACCATATACATTGGGAAGCATAAGGCTGAATTACCAGTACACAAAGCTGCATTTAGTAACTCATTACAAGGCTGACGTCACTGAAACAAAAGTTCAGTCACGTAGGGATGTGGCAGAGGTTATCATACAGCACATTACTGATATACTGGGGGGGAAGATTATGTCAACTGCTTGCTAGTGTCCACATCCAGGATGCAATCTCCCCAGGGAATAAACACTCTTGGCAAGCACTGAAACCCAGAAATCTTCACAAAGCTGTTTGCAATTTGCAGCCAAAGCTATCCACAAATGCTGGGAATAAAGACTACAGTCCTTGACAGCACACAGCTCCAGACATTTCCATGGGGGAAGTTTAATCTACAAGGATGTAGAAATATAAAACAAAGTATTGCTCAAAGTAACTGTTTGTCAGATCATGTGCCTCTAATTTGGTTTCCAGTGACATTACACAGCTGCAGCCAATGGATTCCAGCCAGGCTCAACAGTCACTGATGTTCTTTATTGTTTAAATTTGGTATCTGAACATGTTTTGTCCATCATTAAAATGGAGAGTAATTGCTCAAAAGTGAACTATAGATGTTACAAATGTAAAGAACTTATTAGGTCACCTAGTCCATCCTCAGAGCAATGTAGGATTGAAAACACATTGCAACAAATACTGAACAGAGCTGTGTTTGTTTTCATTTTTGTCCTAATCCTTTTTTCTTTATTGTAATCTTTATCACTATATTCAAAAGTTTAAAAAACAAACACAAATGCCAGTGTAAACATGCTTCAGGTATATAAGTAATATAAAGTATTGCACATACAAAAGTCCTATGTTCGGTATCTCCTTATGGTGCTATCTCATCAGAGTAAGAGTTGTGCAGATGATGTGATTGCAATGAGCTAGCTAATCTTGTTTCAGAAGCTGCTACACACAACAATTAAATATTTACAAAAGCTAGAAGCTCACTGTCTTTCATGGAAGGACAATTTTGCCTGGAATGCATGGGATACAGAGGTGTGCAAATATGGGATAGGCTTGCTTTGTGGTGATATTTGTCAGTTGATCTCTCTAACCTACAAGGAGTCAGCTCAAACCCATTTAGGGGAAGGAGTCTGTTAATGGTTTTTTGGAGGACTGGGAAGTGGTCAGGCCTCCCCAGCCTTAGAAAATGGAGGTTCTTGCTTGTGTGAAGCACACAGATGCTTCACCTCCATTTTTGGAGGCATATGTCTCCTCCTCCCATTTAATCTCATGGGTACTCTGCATCTGAGAAGCTAAAGACTCCATAAAGGTCTTCTTGCAAATTTGCCTTAGATATGAAGACATAACACAGCTCCTGCTTGGATTGCACAGGTCAATCTGCATGCAGGAAATGGTAAAACTGTAAAATCTTGTGTCAGACTGACAGAAGTGACAATGCCTCATGGCTACTCCTGTCATGAAGTATTAGGAAGCAGAAGGGCAGTTTTCTAAAAGTGACAGAATGGGTGAGGCCATTTGCCAATCGAGAAGCTGAGATGGAAAGGAAAGAAGAGGAGCTCAGGAGAAGGCAAGTGTGGTGGAGATTTCAGAAAATGAACAATTCCTCATGAAGTTTACACAATGTAGCTAATTTCACACTCACAGGCAGCACTGGAAGACTCAAGCTTTCAGGTACAAATTTGCACATATCAGAGCTTAAAGCCCCTATTGAGATACGGACCATTTGCCGATAGAACAGAAATAATGAAACATCTCTTCTTCAGAACCCTTAAAAATAATCAATTCTAAGTGTATTTTTTTACTCTTTAGCTCAAAATATTTTTCCTTTTTTATGTTCATGTTTGGTTGGCTGGCATCCTATTTTTCTGCATAAATACAAATTCTGCCCACTTTCGCTGCAAGATTTTGCTTAAGAAATAATTATATTCAGCCCTAAACTTTGCTGAAGTCAACACTTTAGAGTTGTTGTGAGCTTGTACACTGTAACATAAAAAAAGGCAAATATTTCAAGTTACAATTGTGAGTAGCCATTTTGAGGCAATTTCAACAAAGTAACAGAGAAATGGAAAAGAAAATTTACCCCAACCCCAAACCCCCTAAGACTTCACAATATCACCAGTGTGGCTGTGATAACTTAAAACAGTCTTTCAGAAATGACTGTATCCTGTGTCGGCTGTACAGCAAGAGAAGAACAGGGTACCTTATCCCCTGCTCTATGCTGTGCATGGATTTAGTTATCTGGGTGGGATACTGCCAGCTCTGGGCTGAAAGAGATACAACATGTACTTGTTTGTCATATGTCTCATCTTGTAAAGCGTTGCATGGATCTTCTGCTTTGCAAAACTCCTTGTAGCCAAGAAAGTTGTGTTCTGCATGTACAATGGGTGTACTTTTCTATTTACATGTAAAGTAAGGACATGATTTCTATTTTTTTTACTTTCTTCTCTCAAAATCTATGTTGGTTATTATTACAGATACTTATTCCAAAAAGGTGGAAAAATAAATAATTGTGCCCCATCTATAAAGTTTTTTACAGACTACCTTTGTTTTTCAGAAGTACTGTCACAGTACTGATACATTGCTTGTCTCCCTGAGCAATAATTTCATAAAAGTTCTTATTCTTAGGGAGGTTTCAAAGGTATTCTGTATGATACAGTAGCATTCAGAAGGTTTGTCCTGGTCCATCTTCTGGACAAAACAGCAATGAAGGCATTCTCTCCTTGAGAGATTTGGGCTTGTTCTGGAACCAACTCGGTATACCACACGTTCACAGGCATCTGCTCAAACGTAGACTGACTGAAATTGGGATAAACATTCTGTTCAGTGGTGAATATCTTTGTAAGGCAGTGAAAAAGCTGCTTTCTTTGGCAAGGATGGTTGTCATGTGGCATGTTATCAGAACATTGCATAGATCAGATTAAGACACCATGGCAATTGCAGGTACAAAGGAAGGCTGGTGGAAGGAATCCTTCATTTAATCCTCATTGTGTTTCTAGTCTCAGGTAGGATTCTGACTTTAACTGTTACTCTCTTCCTTTATGCATCAGTAGTCTTGTTATTTGTCAGCTGTTGCCTGTCAGCCATGTCATCTTGAGGAGGTCTAGCTCTGTCAAAGAAGCCACACTGCAGAAAACAATCAACAGAAACAAAGGTGTCATGGTAAGACAACCACAGGAAGACTCAGCTGCAGTTTGATTCTTCACTCAGTCAACCTGAAAGGTCAGACACAACCTATGGCAGGCAGATAGACTGTGAAGATATTGCATTTCTATTCAAATCATTCCCTATGAAAAATTAGTTCTATTTACAAGGCATTGACTTCCAAAATATAGCTTTAAAAATTCAAATCATATGAAAGATGTCTTTGCAGGAGATGTAAAGTTGGTCTGAATGCTGATACGGACTGATGCTAATGAGAAAACTGCTAATTTCAGTTCAGCAAGACGCTCATTCAGAAAAGGTATTTAGATTGACAAGCAGTAACAATAACAGAGGTGGGATGTGTGTTGGGAAATGTGTACAGGACAGTGTTGTAAGCTAGACTAAAGATCACTGAAGATGAGATCCTCTCACCTAACTTTAACTGCCAAAAGGTTACCCTTCTAGTCACCAGGTTGAATGTTCACATAAGGTCAAAGAAAGGTACCGCTAAAATTCCTCTCATCCTTGCATGTTTTAGACATAGCTTTTTGCTGCTGTTACCTGACTAGGTGAATTTGAGAAGTTAGCAGAGACTGCACACCTAACCATAACCTTTAGGCTGCTAAAGACAGATGAGCCATATTCTAAGTTAAGGAATTATTTTGAAGTTATTTTTAATGTGAAATGAGAGGATGCCCAAAAGATACACTTGCTCCCTGTAATATAGCAGTTTCCAGTAACTTATCTTAAAACTTGTGAAGGGAGTGTAACAACTAACACAGAAGTAGAAAACTTTAAAACCAGAAGATATGATATACTAACATAAAAGGAAATCTAAAAATTAATTCTCAGAGCTGGGAATGTTGTTCCATGCTGACAAAAACTGGAAATCCCTGAATTATTGAGAGAAAACAAAAGTTAGAGTAACTTCTTTTTGAACCTAAACATCCTGAGAAAGAGGATCATAGGTCTTGGGAAACAGAGCCAAACTCTGTATGCCCATTTATAACTAGACTTCAGTAATAAAGGAAGACTTTGAAAACAAGTTCCCTGCAAAAAGGTCAGTGACACTAGCATGTCAGAAATGCCAAAACAAAAAAAACACGTGTATTGTTGCTTTTGCTCCAAGCTGCTAAAGATCACAAAATTCCAACCTTTCTTTATCTTCTCTTCTAGTATCTTTAGGGGTTTTTTTAAGGCAACAGTAACAGTAATAATACAGCATACCTTCCATAAAGCTAGGGTCAGCAGAGCTAGTACTAGTAGTCCAAGAAGTATGGCTAGTATTATAACCCATAAAGGGATTTCAAAGGAGACATTTGGGGTGGACCAAATAACAGATGTTCTGATCTGAAATGAAAAGAATACATTAAATGAAAAAAAGTGAAGTAAGGAAAGCAAATCTGACAGTAGAATACAAAGGTTAGAAGCATTCACTTCAACAGCATTTTGCAGATTAGAAATGCACATTCCCTGAAATTCTCCCACGTTGGTTTCTTTTACTGTAAGTTCCTTTCCACTTGTTCATGGTAACTTTTATAAATTAAATTCACGCATACACCAAATTCATGTCAAATCAGACAAACAAACCATTTTCCCTTAATACAGCGTAGCAAAAAATACCCTTCTGAGCAGATGCTTCAAGAATATTCAAGGAGCAAAGTTCTGCTCACATCCATGCTGGCACAGCCTAGGCCAGTATAACTGAATTACACTGAACTACTCTGAAACAATGGTTGACTTCGGCCCAAACTCTTAATTCAAACCACAGTAGATATGAGTTACATTTTTTTATTTTAATTTCTGCTGACATACCAGTATACATTTTATCTGATGATTTGCATTTCAGCTAAGCAGTCCAAAAATGAAACTCAAGCAGCAGTTTATTGTCTTTGTGATAAAGCCTAATGCACAGTATGATATGATGTTCCTTAAAAGAAGTCAAGCATACAGACTATTACCTAAGTGGGAAATAAGCATGAAATGCACTCTTTCCTTGTAGGAGGCTCTAGAAAGCAGCAGGTGTTAACATGAGTTATCAGAGGTTTTAACTGACTTGGCAAAATTCTCTCTTTAGACCTTCATGTGGACAAAGAGTAATAATAATCCTCCTGTTTTTCTCTTCTGGGGCCATCCATGCTGTCCTCCTCACTCTCCCTTCCATATCTTTTAACAAATTTATTTTATGCTCTCAGACTCTGCTTGGAAGGTTCCTTGTCAATCTCACTGAATGTTTGCCCTATCTCTTCTCCCAAGGGGGAAGGAATGAATTTGAGCTTTCCTTAGCTCTTTAGTCATGAATATGTCTCTTCAATCTCAGTTTATTTTCTCAAATTTTCCTCTTTGTTGTTAGCCTAGGAAGTTATTTCTCTCTCAGGTTTTCTGTTGGACTTCTCTCATCTACTCCTAGTCTCCCTTAAACAGAGTAAGTATGTGACAGATGGAAGTTATTTTCTTTATGACATGATGAAATCAGTTTGCAAAGCAACAGATTACACAAACTCTCAAATGGCCTTCCTCTTCAGTGCTCAAGGTACAGTTAGGAAATCTACTCTTAAATTTCTTGGCTATTGCCCAGTCCCCGAGCTGCACTCATCGCAAATTCTTTTCTGACCTTTTTTTTTTTTCTATTGCTATTAACTTACTGCTTGATGCACCCAAAATTTAACACAACACTGTTTTCTAATTTGTTCATTCATGGGACAGCAGCCTAAGTTTGAAGACTGGACACAGTCTAATTTAGCTCATAACTGATTCCATTCCTGTGCCTCTCACTCCTCTCCCTGAAGATGGCCAATTTCAGTTTTTCAGTGACATCCAGCCCTTTCCTCTCTCCCTCTTTCTTTTGCTAAACTTTTCGTTCTGCAAGCACCAGTGGATCTGTCTCCAAGCTACTGTCATGCTTAATTGGAAGACACTTTGGAATAGTCCTTTGGACTCTGCAGCCAACTGCTCCATCCTCTGACATGGTGTTTGCAAAGATGGCAGTCTGGTGAGCGTTACTGATGTACATGTTTTTTTCTAGTATTCCTCATCGTTATGGGGAACAGAAATTGGTGACAACTTTATATGTAGTATACCACTTGCCTTCTACCAAAGCTTACCCTGAGAGTTATGCAGAAAATTCCAAGACACTGCTGAGTCCTTCTGCTGTCAGCACTTTAACATTGGCCTGTACCCTGAGGATGAAGTGCTTGCAGTGCTGGCCATACCACCATTGATGTAACAAACACATTCACCTAATATGCATCTCTGGACCAGCTGTAAATACTTATTAGTATAAAATATTTCAAAAGAATTGCATATACAAAGAATAAATATGTTGGTTAATTAAACTAAGAAAAAAATATTTCAACACATGAAATCCCACCCCTGTGTCCCAACAGATATCGTGCTGGTGTGATCAAGTGATCAACTATGCCACTGTAAGAATACAGTTCCCTTCCCTAGCCTGCTCTTTGGGTCACTTGTTAACCACTGCAGAATTTCATAAGCTCTCTGTATCATTAGATTCAGCAAGAGCAGTGCTCATTTAGTAAGGATAAAATGTTTTTGAATAGCTCTACTTGTGGCTCAGAGTGGCATTTAAATACAAGGGCAGAGAAAATGAGAAAAAGGTCATCTGAACTGTCTGCAGAGATTCCTCCCAGAGAAAAGCCAGTTAAGAAAAAAGATGAATGCAAGTAAGAGGTTAACTGGCCAGGGAAAACAGAAGGGATGCAGTTATGATGGGATGCATGAAGCCTGTAGAAAGTAATGAGCTCAGCTGTACCAGGAAGAAAGCATCTCCCTTCTACTGCTTGAAAATCCTCATGAATGCTGTCCTGAAGCAAGCCTTGAAGATCTGATCACATACAGCACAAGAGCTGGGAAGTGCTGATGAAAATTTATGGGCTCCAAGACAGCAAAACCAGATTGATTAAAAAACCCCAACTCATCCATGCTGCGCACTTCCTCTGTTGGCAAACTCTGAGGTACCACATGGAGGAAGACACAAATTTTACTTATGATTTGGAAGGAACCTGACACTGTCAACATACAGATTACATATATTAACGTTGTTGTGAAGCTGGAGCAGTAAAGCGATAGACCAGTTACCAAAACCATCTTAACAAATATTTGTAAAACAACAGCAAAAAGCAAACCCCAGCAGTACTTTCTGTCCTCTCAAGTTTGAAAAAATGACTCAATTTTAAAGCAAGATCAAACCTGAGGGAAGATGCAAAGGTTTTATTTCATCATTTCTGGTACTGATAGCTTCAGCCAAAGTCTTCTGAAATTGTTCATCCTGAATGTGGAAATTATCAGAATTGGCAACTACTTCATGGAAGGGGTTTTGTTTTACATATTTCTTCAGATAGTATTTGACTGAATCACTCCTGTCTCCTTGGGCTACTCTCATCCAATTTGGGGAACTACTTCAGCTCCACAGGTGCTCTCAGACAGAAGTGAAGTAAACTGCTGCCTGCTGTTTGAATATTTCACACGACCACTTACTGATAGCACAGCAACAAGACTCGTGCACCAGTTCACTGTTCGAAATTTGGTATAGTCAATTCAGACTTCAAAGCCTTATTGAGATCCTGATGAAATCAATGGAAACAGTCTATTTCATCAGGGTCAGTGGATTTCATCAGGTTTTGGACAAAGCTGATAGTAGTGTATGCAGCTACAAGTATCTCTGCTGCCATTCCATGTGTTCTTTTATGTGCCACATCCTAGAGGTTTGCTGTATTTGTGAGTTGTTTTCTTTCCTCAGGCTACGAAAACAATAAGGCAAGTTAGCTCTTATGATAGCTACAGAGCACCTATCAGCATGGATCCAGATAAGAACATGTGGATCTTCCTGAGGATGCTAACCAATTATGAGTGCTGCAGTAACACTCAGCCTTGCTTGTCCTGCCTGCGTTCTGAATTCTTTCTCCCTTCTCCCCTCTTCCTTCTGTTGCTCTGCCTTTGCAGACAGTCGAGTGAAATTTGCAGTGTAATTTCAGTAGCCCAGCTGGAGCCTGACAAATGTTGAAACATAAACAAGAAACTGTAATCTTATAGAAGTGAAGAGCATCATGTTTATAATCCTTAGATTATCAGCAATGAGCCAAACAAATGGCAGAAATTAGGTCTGTCTTGTATCAGGTAGAATGCTGCTGCAAAGCTGCCACATCTCTCTCCTCTTTTAGCCTGAGTGGGGCCTATGCTAATGAAGTATTTGCCTGCTAAAATCTTGAAACCATCCTGTCACACCCATACCCTTTTTCATGAATCCTTCTTTGTCTTATGTTTTGAAAGTAAGGAAGGGTTGTGCTAAGTGCTCGAGATTTATTTCCTGAGCAGTGGATTATTTGTAGACATCAGTCTCACTCCTGCCTATATACCAGTAGAATACGCAGCCCCTGGGCTGCCCCCTTTAAACTCTACACAAAGACTTGCAAGGCTACTAATGCAATTGCTGGTGAACAGTTTGACAGGACAAGTCCTGAACACCCACAGAGTTGAGGCAGAAGCTGGAGGGGAATTAAAAAACAAAGCATCCCTTCAGTTTTGCCTGCTGTGTTTCACCATTTCCACAGAAGACTGTCCCTCCTCCACCCCATACTGTCCACAACAGTATTACATATGATTTTGATTAAAGACAAGTCTGCATTATTCAGCTTGGATTTCTGAAGTTCTTCTCCATGTGGTAGGTTTAGTACTGCAGGATCAGAGCCAGAGAATTTTTTTGGGGGAGATTTATCTGTTTTCATCTAAGGTGGCCAATGTGAAGAAGTGGAATTTTTACACAAGTGTTGCATATTGCTTGTACTTCAGATGCATGTTGGCTTTCCTCTCTGTTCAGGACAAGATTTTCTTGTGCTGAACACTGGAAACAGTGGTTGCTTCTCTGTCAGGAGGATGAAAAGCACAGCTCACAGACTTCAGAGGAACCATCTGACTTTTGGTCTTCCATACTGCTGAATATCTCACACCTTTTTGTATGGAAAGGGTGCCAAAGAATGCCATCTGGCTCAGGCACTAAGATGAGGGTGAAGCCAACCCAAGAGTTATGGACAGAGCCTTTGTTTGCAACTGGAAATAAAATCCACACAGAGATGCTCTCTGATAGTCTTAACTGCAGAATCCCTGTTGTGGTTCCATGAAAGTCACTTGTTAATTGTGAAAGTGTTTCTATAGGGGCTTTTATTTTCCTTTTTTTAAAATGTGACATGCTTAAGCACATTGTAAGTAGATAAAAGAACTATTTATTTTTTTTGCTGCTGGTTTTTGTACATTTTGAATTCTGCTCCTGATTTTGGTGCTACTCAGTGTGTCCTCAAAATTGTCTTTGATTCCTTTGGAAGGCAGCACAAGGCAGAGAAGAACATATATGGTAAGCTGCTGGTTCAATGGCAGTCCCTTGTGGAAAGATAGGAATTAGGTTTCACTGGTGCAAACATCCAGCATCTATAGTGAGAATTCAGTGCAAGCTAGTGGGATTGTCACAAAGCTATTTTTTTTCTCTCTGGTCCTTTAAAAGACACACTTTAAAATATAAAAATAACTTCTCCGTAATTTATTCTGCTGCTTTAAGAAACAGTAGCTAAATTGATTATTATTCTAATGCTACTACTTTTACTGCCCATGATGACCTTTCTCTAGTCTTCAGCAATTTTAGTTACAGAGGGTGAGAAACAGGGATTCCAGCCTTTGAAGCATGATGTTCTTATGTGCTCTGAAAAAATTATCAAAATAGAATGTAAAAGCTCCCTTGAGCTTGGAGTCATAATTAATATTGAAATTTATCCTTACACTTTACAAATGTTTATGCAAATATATGTCATAAGGAATATAAGCATGTCTAAAATGAAAGTACTATCACCATGTAATAGCTAAAAAAGGAGGTATAAGCCTTAGTCTGAAACAAGTTTTACTCACTGTAGGACACTGGTCAAACAGTTTACATTAAAGCACCCCCCCTGAAGATCCTATCAAACATTTAAGAAAAGCAATTATAATTTATTAAACTCCCAAACTGGCTCAGGAATCATAAAATAAAATAGAACAAATTGCTGCTTATTGTAACTCTGTACTTTCTGTAATAAAAAGTATTTTCAAGTTTCACATGAAATTCATCAAATAAGATAGTATCATTTACCATAATAATACTTCTAAGAAAAAATGACAAATTTCTCTTGAATGATAGAGCTGTTAGCAAGGAAATCCATTCAGTTGTATAATATATAGCTGCAATTCCCAGCATACGAAAATTAATAGAAATACTATTATTGATGTCAGTGGATTCTGGTTTAAGCTCCACTAAATTTCATGCTAATTTTCCATTTGATGCATTTTTACTCTAATGTTTTACTATAAAAGATTAAGATTTTCTTACATTTATATAACTTTTCACACACCTTTGTTATCATGGCCCTCTCTCTGTTCAAGATAAAGACCTACATTCCATGATGATGGAAATAAAGACTTCAGTGCTGCAAATATGACTGCGTGACTGTTGATTACTGAGTATGGGATTATTCATGCCATTAAAACTAAACATAAATATCAACTTGCATAATTGGAACACAGCATTGTATGAGTTAAATGAAGGACATATGCTCTGTTCTTTTAACAATATTATCTTCTCTATATAAACTTTAAAGTGTTAGCTGATTATTAAATACATACTTTTGACAATTAATTTTAAAATATTAAAATCTTTATTCCTCTTCCATCCTTTCACTGTCTAAAAGAAAACCATAAACTTCCAAATAAATCTTTAGAAACTTTTAAAACACAACTAGTGATCTTTTTCAGAAGGAGCAAAAATATTAAGCTTTGCCCAACTTAAAGCAAATATTTCTTTTTGCAAGTGGAACATCAAAGAACTGGTGCATATAACACATCAAGCTGTAGAGCTGGCAAGTGTCCACTGCCATGTCCACATATGAAACGACATAAAAGCACTATCATTTTTCAACATTTTACAGTTGCCATTACTGGCATTTTGCTGTAAATCATCTGCAGCAAATAACAAGCATTATACTGGCTGGAATAAGAGAATAAAATGCTTATCTGATCATTTGGTAGATCATCTGACACTTGTTGAGAACAGCAGGCTATCACCTGGGATAAAGCACTTCAGTCCAGATGAAGGCACCACTACCAACAGAACTCTGCACAACATGTGTTTCTGGTATGGAACACATGCTGCAAGAAAATAAAAAGAGCCTGAGTATATCTGTCAGCTTGGAGCCTTTGAACCTTTCTGGATGAATACTGCATTAAGCACCAAATCTCTGTGGTGAAATCATGGTTCTCCTGATGATGGAGGTTGGAGTCACTGTTCATACAGGACCAAGATTTTACCTTGGGTCTCCCCCGAGCACGTATCAACCATGTAATCTGTGCATATTCAAAACACAACTTTATACCTTGTATCCTCTAAAATACACTCAAAGTAAGCTATAAAATGTTTTATCTGTTTTCCATATAAGAAAATATTTTGCCCCTACTACCACATCTCAACAGACCAGTATGATGTATTTTCACCATGATTTAACTTGGAAAAGTTTGAAAAGAGCTTCAAAAAAGGACTGTAACTGATAAGTCTTCAAAAAGATAAGAACAATAAGCCATAAAATTTCAGATTACTCATAATAGATCCAATTTTTGCACTCATATTTTACTTATTTCTACCAGTAATGACAAAATAGAGTGAATTTTAACCATGGTATTAGATACCATAAGGAGCAAATTCCTTTAAAGTTCTCCCAAAAGTCAATGCTTTGTCACAAGAAAACAAGTAAATCAAACTTATGCCTCCAAGGTTAATTTTTCACATAGTAATTGAGAGCCATACAAATCTCAGTCTGCAAATAAGGCAAGTACTTTAGCATCTATCTATCACATCAGTTGGTAAACTTATATCTTGCACTTGATGTGCTGTGAGGTTGAAAACCTAGAGAGGTATGCAAACCTTTCTGAAAATCAGAGGGTACCAAAGAAGCTTAATACAGATAAGAGAGGAATTGCTGTAGATAATCCATATGCTTGTGTGAGAAAACTGCTGACTGGGAGAAGAGTGAGATCTCTAAACCTGACAGAAACATGATTTTGGATTTTGCACAAAAATTTCCTCCAGACTTATTTTACCCCAAACAAAGTAACTAGACACTTGCTTTCACAGTTCTGTTGTTTTCTTCTGGGTGAAAAATCCATCCTGATTGCAATAAAGCGGTCTGCACATTAGTGCAGCAAGAAGTTATTTAAAAATGTAATCAGTATCATATATCACCACCTTCCACAGGAAGCAATAAAGGTATTTCCTTTAGGTATTATTTCAGGAATTTACACTAGAAACACAGGAAAGGCCAATCTCAATATTTTCATCTACAAAAACTTTCACAGCTGTGATCAGAATGACCAAATACATATACTTCACACAAAGATATAATTTTCAGTTACTTACTGCTATGCTTCCTGTGGGGAGTTTTGCTGGTTGCACCTTATATGGCATGCTCTTAACTTCGAAGGAAACATTGGAAGAAAGACTATAGAGATCGTTCTTTCTCTGGAATTACAGAACAAAAGAAATTATTAAAAACCACGCTTGTATTTAAAAGCATTATAAAAAATAAGCAGAGAAAAAATACAGTGCACTGATTTCCTAAGGCAAAGGTGGTTTCTTTTGGTAAAGAATGTAGGAACACTGGGACCTGTACATGTCCATGGGATAAATACAGCATAAGGCTGCAATACAAAGGCCACATGTTCAAATGGGGAAGAAGGGTTAGATATGCAGAAAGACACATACAGTTTTTTCTCTTATTTCTCTCTGAAATAGGTGAGTTAGAAGCATGGGCCCAGTTGATGGGGTGTCCATGTTTTAAAACCTTGGCTCTGCTCACCAAGCCTGACAACCAACATGGGTATCTTGAGAAAATTTCCTGGTCTATGTTGAGACCAGGTTGGTAGAGCTTCCTGATAGCACCAAAGAAATGGCTGTGCCTTCCCATCAAAGAACAATAGGAACAAGCATCTTTGCACCTCATTTACACAGGATCACAGAATCACAGAATAGTCTGAGTTGGAAGGGACCTCTGGAGATCATCTAGTCCAAATTCCCTGCCCACTCACCTTGGTTGTTTACTACATTGTGCCACTGTGAGAGGAATGTATAGCAGCCATTGTTTAACTGGCTACCTAATAAAATATTTATATAGGTGACATTAAGCATTTTGACAAACCCAAAGATGCAAAGACGGAACAAAATGCGTCTCTCTGTCCTTCATTTATGATTGCTTATATTTATAAAACATTATTAGATTAGATTAGATTAGGCATTACTTTACCTAGTTTAGAATCACTAAAAACTGTTACATCACGTATCTCATGCAGTGACTTAATTAATGCTTTCACCTCTTTTGGTGCCAGGTAGGCAGTGACACACTACACCTGACCAATTGTAAGTCTCACTGTGCTGTTCTGACCTTGAGAATAACCTCCCACTCTGTGAAAACCACCTTAAATGATAGTTAAGTGCTGGTATGTCTGCTGGAAGAATACCTGCCGGTATTTGTTAGGAACTGACTTAAGCTCTGATACATGGAAAGTGCATATCCCTTAAAGGAATGGTTACAACATTTACTACAATGGATACATATATTTTCCACACCCATATTTTGAATCCTGTTGAGCAATTGGCATCATCAATATCCAACCGGAGCTAGTTTTGAAGGCTAAGTCCATCAGGTATCAAGTAAATCTTTCAGAGGGAAAATCCTGCACTTAGAACATTCTCTTTTTCTTTGTTTTTATCCCAAGGAAGGATGGCTGAATAGTTAACCATTCTCTTCTGGTAGTCAACAAATCTAATTTCATCTCTGCAACTGATTTTTTGGGTGGCACTACTATCTTGTATATCCCTTCCCATGTAAAGTTGGGGTACTGATATGGATCTCCTTTGAAAGGGCTTTGATATTCACTGAAAAGCATTAGACAGTTAAGTGCTAATATGGTCAATGGAATCCAGATGGCTAGGAGTTATGGTTGTTAACATATCTCTTTTCTATCTAATTATTATTATTATTAAAATTATTATGTTCCATTTTTGCTACCTGTATCAATTCTTTCTTAAATACGATGACCAGATTTGAACAGAAAGACAGAGCCTTGTTAGTAAAGCAGTCTCTCATTTTGTCACCAGGTTCTTATCATATTTGGAACATTGCTGTCACTTCCTAAATGCCCTTCTGCAAAACTCTTTGTCCTTCCTTCTGTTTCTCACACATTTAGGAGTTCTGCTTCGTTGAGAAGATTTGGTTTCTATATGATTACTCAACATCTTTTCCTCCCTGGTGTTTTCTCTGGCATTCCTTCTTGCATCAAAGGCATAAACCCTCTCTAAGAATTGCTTTTCCCCTTTCAGCTGTCTTGCTGAAAAAAGACTGAGGTGAGAAGATCCCGTGATAATCTGGGCTACTATTCCTTTCCTTCACTGATGGAGGAAGGTTTGTTTGTGAAAATGACCTGAAAGAAGCATAATCTAAACCTGGGAGCCAACTTGGATGAAGTTGGATGACCATGGCCCAACTCAAAGTTTTCACAGAACTCCTGTGGTTTGAAAGAACATCTGGAGATTGTCTACTCCAAGTACAAGCTTAGAGCAGAGTCAACTAGAGCAATATACTCTGGACTACATCCAGTTGGGTTCTGAATATCTCCACAAATGGAGACTCCACAAACTCAAGAAGTAACCTTTTCCAATGTTTGACTACCCTCGCAGTAAAAAGTGTTTTTTCTTATGTTTAAATGGAATTTCCTGTATTTCAGTTTGTGCTTCTTTCCTGTTACTGGATATTACTGGGAAGAGCCTGCTCTGTCTTCCTTACTCCTTCCTGTCAGATGTTTATACACACTAACGAGATCCTACCTGAGCCTTCTTTTCTCCAGACTGAACACTCCCATCTCTCTCAGCCTTTCCTTATATATCAAAAGCTCCAAGCCCTTAACCATCTTTGTGGCCATTGGCTCCAGTATGCCCATGTTTCACTTGTCCCAGGGAGCCCAGGATTGGACTCCAGATGTGTCTCACCAGTGCTGAGAGAAAGAATCACCTCCCTTGACCTGCTGGCAACGCTCTTTCCGATGCAGTCCAAGAGGCTGTTGACTCACTTTGCTGGAAGGGCACACAAAGTGGGCCACACATGTTCAACTTTGTGTCTAACAGGACTCTGAGATCCTTTGTTAGAACACAGCCTTCCAGAAGGTCGGCCCCCAGCCTACACTGGTGCATAGGGTTATTCCTCCTGTGGTATAGCACTTTGCATTTCCCTTCGTCACTCTTCACGGAATTCCTGCTGACTTAGTTCTCCCACCTGTCGAGGTTCCTCTGAAGGGCAGTACGAACAACTGCTGTATGAAAGACTCTTTGCACTTTTCTATCATCTCCAAACTTGATGAAAGTGTACTCCGTCCCATTATCCAAGTCATTAATGATGTTAAACAGTATTGGCCCCAGTATTGATCCCTGGGGTATACCACTATTGACAGACTGACAGCTGGACTTCATGCTGCTGATCAAATGCTTGAAGTTCAGTCAGTTTTGAATCCACCTCTCTTCATTCATTTTGACAGTGTCAAAAACCTTGCTAAATTCAAGATAAAACCCAATGACTTCTCTTGCCTTGTCCACCAAGATGAACCTCATTTTTCTTATTGAAGACTATCAGGTTTGTCAAGCATGATTTCCCTTTCGTAAATCCACACTGACAACTCCCAATCACCTTCTTGTCCTTCAGATGTTTGCAAATGGCTTCCAGGGCTTTTTTCTCCATCCCCTTCCCAAGGCTGGAATCTGACTGGCCTATAGTCCTCTGAATCCTCCTTCTTGAAGATAGATGTGACATTTGCTTTCTTCCAGTCCTCAGGAACTTCCCCCATCACTATGATTTTTCAAAGATAATTGAGAGAGGTCTCACATTGCTGTGATACCTCCTTCAGCACTTGTAGGTGTCTTCCATCAGGTTCCTTGGAATTTTGTATGTCCAATTTGTTTAAGTGTCCCCCTGACCTGATATTCCTCCATTGAAGGTAAATGTTGATGGCTACAGGTTTCCTCTCTGATTGCAGAGGCCTCAAATTACTGTATGCAGATTTTACCAGTAAAGACCAAAGTGATGGAGGCATTAAGTAACTCAGCCTTTTCCATGTCCTATTCAGCAGAAGACCCATATTTTCCCTAGTCTTTTGGCTGCTAATATAGAAGCCTCCCTAATGCCCTTTAAGCCCCTTGCTAGGCTCAGCTCCTGGTGGGCGTTTACCTTCTTAACTCTGCCCCTGCATGCTCAGACACTGTATCTATATTCCTTATCCAGCCCCTGCACCGGGTTAACTGACTCTTCTTGCACCTCCTTTATGTTTCACAGAATCATAAAGATTGGAAAAGACCTCCAAGACTGAGTCAAACCTTAAGCCAATCATCACCTTTTTATGTTTGATTTTTACCATGTCAGGACGGACAGTTCATGAGTTAAAGGAGATGATGGTGATCCTGGAGAACCACTAGTTCTTCTGGACTCCTTTTTTTTTCCAGGATCATCTCCCACAGAGTTCTTCCAAGCAGATCCCTGAAAAGGCTGCAGGCTACTCTCCTGAGGTCCAGGGTCTGGTATTTGCCTTGTCCATTCTGTCTTCTTTTTAAAAACTACTTTTCTCTGCAAATATGGTGATATAAAGCCAGCACATTTATTGCCTTCTGGAACTCATTTGGCTATGCCATAATTTTGTTCTTTTAAAATATTGAGAGCAGCTGAATGGTTACTATCAGAATATTCAACCTCTCCTCGGGGCTTAAACTAGGAAAAAGCAACATGAAAAAAACAGTCTTAAATGACTACATAGGGATAGTCAAATCAGCTCTTTAACACAGATGGCATCTAATGAAAGGGAACTACTTTTTCTATCAACATTGTTTGAAATAAAAAATTAGACTTTGTAAATAAATAGTTTTATACACTTTCATGGTGCTGAACATTTATGAGATGATATTCAGAAAAATAATTTTTCCTTATCACATTAATTATTTTCTGTTTTCAGACTCAGGCCATTTTTCATCTCTTATTCTTCAGCACTAGACTTCTCACACAAAGTTCCAGCATGTTTCTGTGGTTGTGCAACAATTTGCATTCAGAAAAAAGTGAGAATAAAGCCTTATGTTTTCAATTCTAAGCAATGGATATTAAGCAGGATTCTGGATATGATTTTTATGGTTTATAAATGTAATCTGTAATGGGGAGAGCAGGATATGTTATATTATTAAAGAAGTAGGCATTAGATATTCAGCCTGATTGGCTAAGGTACAGTAAAGGCATTAACTCTCCTGAAACTTCATATAAAGGAAACATAGCATTCGTGGAAAAATAAATCCTTTCACCTACTAGACATGGCTTATTTAATTTTCAGCTTATATCCCAATAAGAACATCAGAGTAAGGTACTTCCTGTGGATTAAGGCTTGGCTGGGGTTAATAAGTTTGGGTTGTGTCCACAGCTATCAACTCGGCTCAACCCT